ATATATATTTTATTTTATATAATTTTAATCTTTAAAAAAGTAAAAAATTATTATATAATTCTCAAATATAAGTTATTGTGTTGCACTATTGGTTGTTGCTTAAAATTTTATCAATATATCATTTTTTATTAATCTTACTTTTTATTAATCCTACTTAATAGATTAATTCGTCTTGTTTTAACTCTTTTAGTTTCTACAACAACTATAAATAGAATCTTTTTAGTAATGAAAATTATAAAAATAAGATGGAACAAAATGGGTAATGAGTTTTTTACAGATAATTTAGTTGTTTATATTAAAAAAGATATTACTAGTTTGTTTAGAATAGAGTTAATAATTCAAAAAATATCTTTGAGCACAACTTTTTCTAAGAGATTATTATAAGTCTTTCTTTTCTTATTCTTTTTTATTTACTTGCTATATAAAATTATTATTTATTATGAATATTTTGAGTGTTGGTTAAATTTAATATATTAGTTTTAAAAATTTTTAGCCCTTATTTCTTTTCCCCTTTGGCATCCTCAATAAAAATTGGCTAACTTCGCCCTTGCTTATATGACTAACAAAATTCAAATTGTATGCAAAGGAAAAAGAAAATTAAAAAAAAAAAGAATGTAAATTGTTTGATTGATTCATGAAAAAAAAAGAATAGGAGAAAGTTGAAAACTATATGCAAAGGGAAAAAAAATTTTGACACGATATAGTTGCAATAGAAATTGAAAGAGTTACAATAAGTCAAATCACTGATTCAAGAGAGAATATACAATTGATTTTTCTATCTTTGACAGTAATTGGCATAGCTTTGAAAGAGTTGAAATACTTTGCAAACATGAATCTTGCCTGATATCAAATTCAAAATGTTAAATGTAAATTGTTTAATTGATTCATAGGAAAATAATAAGAGAAAAAGTGAAAATTGTGTGTAAAGAAAAAAAAAAGCAGTTAGAGGCAGATTCAAACTGTGTGCAGAGGGAAAAGAAAATAAAAAAAGAATATAAATTGTTTGATTGATTCATGGAAAAAGAGAATAGGAGAAACGGTGAAAATAGTGTGGAAAGAGGAAAAAAAATGCTGACGCTTTGTAGTTGCTATAAAAATTAAAAGAGTTAAGATAAGTCAAGCCGAATGATTTAAAAGAGGATATACAACTGATTTTTTTCGTCTTAGATTAACTGACATAGTTCTGAAAGAGTTAAAACACTTTGCAAACATGGATCTCAGCTAATATCAAGTTCAAAATGCTAAATGTAAATTTTTTGATTGATTAACAAAAAAAAAGGGAGAAAAGGTGAAAACCATGTGTAAA